GGCTCTGTGCGGCTGGGGGGTGCCTGGTTCTGTGCCAGGCTCTGTGCGCCTGGGGGGTGCCTGGCTCTGTGCCAGGCTCTGTGCGCCTGGGGGGTGTGGGAGCGCCAGGCAGGAGGGATGGGAAGGGAGAAAGCGAAGGGCAGTGTCTGTGAGGCTGTGAAGTCGTGGTCCCAGGGGGGAGGTCTGCTTGCCACACATAAGAGGTAGGAAAAGATCCTTAGAGGGGAGCCTTGTGTCTGACTCTGTTATACGCATGGGGAGCTATTGCACATGAACCAACAAGCTGACTGTTTACATAAGCAAAGCAGAAGGAGAAACTGAGGCACAGGGCAGGGAGTGACTTACCCAAGGCAGCACCGTGAGGCAGTGGCAGAGCTGGGGATAGAGCGCAGGACTCTCTCCAGCTTGCTGGGCCGCCCTCTCTCTGCCCTTCCCTTGCATCCCCTGGGTGGCTTTGGTTGGTCCCGCTGAGCCCTGGGCGCCGGTTCTTGGCCTCTGCCCTCCAGGTGCCGCCGCTGTACCTGGTGGATATTGGCGTCTCCGGGGGAGAGCGAGGAGGGCGTGGGTGGGGGAAGCCAGTTGTAGGGATATTGGAGCTGCACTGCAAAGAGAATAACTCTTCTCCCGAGGGCTTCGGGCGCGCTGGCTGCCGGGGGTTTTCCGCTCTGCGCGGTCGCCGAGCTGCAGAACAATTGATTTCTCAGCCGAGGGGTTAGCCCGTTGGGAAGGGAGTTTTCCTCACACTGGGGAGCTGCAGCCCAGGCCTGGCTAAGACCATCTCCTGGGCAGAGGGCCCGAGCACACAGCCAGCAAACAGTGCGTGTGCGTGTGCCCGTGTGTGTGTGTGCATGCGTGTGCGTGTGCCTGTGAGTGTGTGTGTGCATGCGTGTGCCCGTGTGTGTGTGTGCGCGTGCATGCGCCCATGTGTGTGTGTGTGCGTGCATGCGTGTACGTGTGCCCGTGAGTGTGTGTGCGTGTGTCCGTGTCCTGCCACGCACGCTCGCTCAAGGCCATTGTTGGGGTCCCTCGCCCAATCCCCCTCCTCACCACAAAGCCTGCACCCCCACCTGCCTGGCCTGGG